CAAAAAGAACAATAAAGAGAAAATGAAGTTATTTTATATTGGTGGTAGAGCAGAATAAATTCTGCATCAGTTCTATAAGTTACTGATCCTGATTTAAAAGTTAAAGGATCGACAGGAAGATACACACATACAGACATGAATTTTTCTAAATAAACCCTTTTAAAAATCAAATTTTGGATTAGAAACCTGAAAGAAGTTATTATGCACTGCACTACAGATCTTCTAAGACACTTTTAACCTAATGGAATGACACCATTATCAAAGGTTCTTAAATAAAATAACCAGAAGTTTCTTGATTTGCAGACTCGCTTGAAGGGAGAAAAACATGTAAGACAAGTGCTGAGTTACTGCAGGGGAATCTGAGGAAGATTGGTATCACCTGATCATCTACCTCAGGGAATCCTACCCAGCAATGATGGTCTTCTGTTGAAAAGATAACTTAAGAATAGTTGAATCTGAGTATTTAGTCATCACATTGTCCACTAATGTACACATTTACAAAGACATACACAAAAAGCTCATTAATCAAGTGATTGTGTAGAGTAGCCAAGACTTTGAAATCCAGATGTCCTCAAATGCCAGGCCCCATTCAAGTGATAAAGGTGTCAACACCCTTGCCCTTAACTGGGCCTTCTGCAAACATTCTATGCAAGTTCATTGTCATCATCTATTTTTCAGCAAAAGGAAAAAGAGGATAAACTAGAATGAAGTCCCCACACACAGGCTGATAGCGATACATTTCTGCTTGCTGTACAGAACTCCTATGGTCTAGACCCACAGGAACGATGAAATGCAGCAAGAGATCCAAGCAGCTGCTCAATGTAATGAGATGCTGGAAGCAGGGTGAGTGACAGAAATGACATAAGGGCACAGAGGAGCCCAACTTCAACATGTGTCATGGAACTCTGGGAAAGAGCAGCAGATGGACCAAACCTATGCATACCCATCAGGAAGAAGTAGCTGACTCTGAGCAATGGTGTCGGGCAGGTTATGAGGTGGAGAGAAATTGTGGCATACAGTGACAGGCCCTGCAAACTGGCTACAGCCACAAACCAAAGGACAGTCTTCGAATGTAGACAGTGCTGAGAGGACCATTACTACATATCACTGGCTTTAAGGACATCCATACTCCTAGACAGCTTCACTGTTAGTGTTGCCATCTACTAATTAAAGGCCAATGATGATAGCTGTTTTTAACACCTTAAATTAACGAAAATGTTTTACTAGAAATGTATTCAAAATGGAACGACTATTTCAATAATTTTAGACCTAAAAAATTCATATTTTGAGAACACCAGTAAACTCTAATAGGAAAACTTATTTTGTTTGTTTTTGGGTAGTAATAACTATGCCTAATTAAGACCCCTCTTTATTTTTAAGCCAATAGTGTCCTTCCATTACACTGAGTTTCCTGATGAGTTTACAGACATAGCATTAAAGATAATATTCGGTTTTGAATATAGGACAAAATTAGGGAATGGCTCAAAAAATCCACACTAGGAAGTCCACATTGCCTTGGGGAGAGAAAACAGCAAACTTGAGAAGCTTTTATAAAGAAGAGTTGTAAAAGAATGCAAATTCCTTAGGATGACCATGAGCTTGGGAAGGGAAATGTTATGGTTGTAACTAACTGCTGAAGGTTTTTTAAAAAATGAAAAATAAAATGACTTTTAGATATAAAATACCATTTTTCTTGGGTCTCACTTTTTAAAGCATATTTTCTTTATATTTATTGAATTAAATGAGAGAAACAGCCTAAATCATAGCATAAAAGCTTTACGTAAAGCGTAAAGAATGTCTTGACTCTGAGTTGCTGAAAGCTCTTGAATAAGACTAGTTCACCAAAAGATGTGGAGCTCAGGCAAACAGTAGGCATTCAAAAAAATACTTGCTGAATGAAGAAACTGAGGTGGCCTAGATACAGCTCAAGAATAACACACAGATTGGGGCCTTTTGAAAACCAAAGGCCATTTTGAACAGAAATTAATAAGGATAGCTCAAAGAAAATGATCTTTTCAAAATCCTGGCTTTCTAGATGCTCTAGGTTTTCCTGAAAGTGAAGGACTACCAATCTACCATGACTTCTACCTCCCACCTTCTTTAAGAGCAGTTAGCCTATCTACCCTCTCCGCCCCCCCCCTCCCCAACCCCGCCACCTTGAGAAAGCCAGAAAAAGGTATTCTGCCATTGGTTTAACCTCATTTCTTCCTTTGGCTAGGTCACCACGATGTGTTAATATTCCCCACTACGTTCCTTTACAGTAGAGAGGGTGTACAACTGTCACTGCCAGGTTGGTCCTTGGGGAGTGGACAGAATGTGCACTACACTGGCATGGGAAGCATGTGCTGTAGTATTCTAGGGATGATATGCCACCATGAAACAATGCAAGTCTAGGTGCTGGTGTTAGGTGGGACAGCCACCAGGAATGGATGGAACATGTGACTGCATGCAGGAGTGTGCTGGGAGATTATGCGTTTGAGAATATGTTGGAAAGTCTAGTGTTTTACCCTGATAACAAAGTTATCGTCAAGTGTATGTGGGAAGAAAGACACCCAATTTTGTAGAATGGATATGGTTTTATAGAGAGGGTGTGGCTTTGGTCAGGTTATATAACTGATGGCCTTTCTGAGTTCTTAGAGCTTAGATATACAGGTAAATTTGGGTTCTAACAGAGCTGGTCAATAAATATTCTCTACCAAACTACTCATAGCTATAGAAAACTCTGAGAAAACTAAAGAGAAAAAGAACATGGTTGTACAAATGAAGAAATCAATTAGGGTCTTTCTGAAGGCCTGTGTACTGATTAATGAAGAGATTCCCACACAAGCATATCACTAGCACAATAACTACATTAAAAATATATGTGACAATTTATATGCCACCTGTCTTGTAGTCAGAATCATGGCCTGGGTGATTTCTTAAAGTGTCTTCTATTCTGAAAGGTTTCTTATATCATTCAATATTAAAAAAATGTTAGCCACCAAAGATCTGTGTGGGTCTTACAGAGCATACAAATGATGCCTAATGTGTTATATCTGTGACTCTGTGGCCACATCCACACAAGGAGAATTAAGCAGAAACTTAAATAACTTAGTTATTGAATTCAAGGAAATAAACCAAAGCACTTTGGGCTCAGTAATCAATTGGACATTTCTCTCCATCTCAGTATCATGCTTAATTGCTCTAACATTTGCTATGTATAGTCTCAACATGTAACCATAAAGACAAATACTAACTCAATTTGTGAGATCCCAAAGACAAAATGAAATCAATATCATTGTTGTGATTTGAAGAGAACAGTTTTCTGAGAAGTGCTGATATAATTTTATTTCATCAAAAATATAAACTATAAGGTGAGATTCTGTTTACATGTTGATATTTACATAGGATTAATACCGATCATCTTAAACCAAAACCTAGTAAAGAGTCAAATCCAGGTGAGAAAGACTGCTTATTAAAACCCTGCTTGTGATCACCAAGGAATAGGTTTATTAGGATGAACTACACATACCGAGGTGTTGTTATTCTAATATCATTCAGCTGTTTAAAGATTCAGTCTCTCTAGTGGCTAATGCCACTTTATTTCCCCTCTCTGATTCTTGCCCAAGAGAAGAATGTATAAAGTCATATAAACATTTTGCTTGGCTGAAAGAGCTAATGAATCCAACTTACAAAGATGATGCTTTCTGAATCACTGATAAAGCTAAATGGGGTATCTGCTTATTTGGTTAAAAAAAATCTCTTTATCTAATGCGACTGGCATCAATGATTCATAAAATTACTTGTGTTCAAATTTTAGCTCAGGGGCAAGAGTGAGATGAATAGACCTACTGAACAATGTCCTCGACACAGCTCTCCACCTTTCCACTGTAAAAAGAAAAAAAAATGACCGACTACCTCTAGCAGACTTAGGTCAATGCACTAAAATATAAATAGAGAGTACACTTTAATAGAATCAGCTGTTCTATTCAACCAAAGAGGTAAAGTCAGCATAGGTGACTGGCAACTTGTGGTTTATAGGTATTTTTATTTCCTCAATTGCCTAGATGTCTCCCTGACCTGAGAATTTCCAGCTTCTTTATTTCTACAACATGAATAATACAGTTATCTAAGACCATGTCTTACTAATGCCACCTACAGAATTAAAGCCCATGTTGACACTGTTGGGTAATCTTTCCAAATAATGTTTAACTATCTGATGAATCATTTCTCTGAATTTGTTTTATGCTTATTTTCCTTTAATGCATCCTTTAATACTTTTTAAACACCCTATTGTTACCATTCTTTTTTGGAATGGCTTCTAGACAAGTGGCTGGTAGAATTAGTAGTTATATACACGGAATCACAAAAATGAGAACACAAAACTATGAGAGCAACTGAAGCAAAATTAACACTCCTAAAACAGCCATGAGACAAAAAAGAGGTAAAAAGTGTGTTTAGTATATGTGTGCATAGGCAGTGAGATGTCCACAGAAATGCTGGCAACGACTCATTTATATTTCTAAAAGAACCTGGGTAATTGAAGTGAATGGAGGTCAAGAATATATTAGGAAAGTGCACAAAAACCTAGGATAAAAAGGCTGCCAAATGTGAAATTCCATTGAAATTCACCAAGACCATGAAAGGTTTTTAAAAATGGTTCTTTTCATACTCTATTCTTGAAGATAAGCTGTTTTCTAGACATAGATGTACATTTTATAGTACCTTTTGACTGATACATTTACAATTTGATATTATGTCCTCAAACCATCATTAGTAGTTAAAATCACAATGTGGTCAAATATACCACATTTGTCTCTATTTTAAGACAGAGAAAATATGTGAAAAAATTGACAAAATCAATACATATAATCAAAATAGTAGTATACTTTTAAAAAGAAAATTACTTTTGTGTCTTAGAATAGGCCTAGTTCCTAAACTTATTAGTTATTTGAAATAATTTTTTTTCTGATATATATGACACTCCAAGTTAGAATTTTCCATTTCTAATGTAATCATACCTTTCACATCTTCATCCTCAATTGTTGTATTTGAACTCTCAGTTGACTCCTGTTGAGAAGAAAACATGTGTTAAGTTGCAAACAATGGATGACTTCATTTTTATTCTTCTTAAAATTGGCAAGTGATGTACATATCATGCAAAGTTCTTCAGCAGGCTGTGCACGTATATTGACATGCAGATGGACAAATACATTATGTGGTTTTGATAGAAATAAAATGGCAAATGCTGAAAACATTTCAAAAAGGGAGTACTCTGGTGGCCTAATCTCTGAAGCAGGAAAAATCTGGGTTATTTGTAGAAGCAGCCAAAGTATGCAACTTATTTTAAGAGCTGTGTTAGGCCATCTTTGGTTACGGTGCCTGATCAGGTGTGTTTTTTCTATGTAGCTATCAGAAATTGAATATATTGGCCTTCTGAATTTGACCCTAAAATAGAACAATTTCTATTCCTAATTAATCAGTAAATAATCCTTTCTTTGTATAAGGCACTATATCAAGCACTGAATTCACAGCCTATTTGTCCTACTCCTACGTAGAGACAGAAAGCATTTCATTGCATCATTTGATGAAGAAGCTGGGGGCCCTAAGCTGAGTTATACTGAAATTACTTTTAACAAGAATTTCTATGTTTGTGATCAGCACAATAGAATTATATGAATAATTTACTTTTTAAAGGACAATCAGATTTTTTTCATCCATTTCTAAATTAGAAACTGGCTGTTATTGATAAGAAGTCTGCTCCCATAATGGAAAGACAAAGCTATTTCTTTATAAAACTACAAATGAAGTTGAAGGCTAATGAGCACACTTAAAAGGACACTGTAACTGCCAATATTAAGATACAGTTTCTTACAATGGTTTCATAATTTTTTCCATTAATAACGTACCAATAAAATATTTTCTAGCAAAGAAATTTAGTAGTATTCATAAAAAACACAATTTTCTACTTGAAATGGTTAAGGGCTAGAGCTGAAAGAAATTAGAAACAAACCTCCAATCGAGATCTAAGTGTTCAGTGATGAAAAACAGATTTTGGAAAATGATGGAAATACCAATCAGTGTCCTTTTAGAGGTTCAATATTCAAAAAAGCAATCAATTTATATAAATAGCATATGTAATATTTAAACCAAAGGGACAGACTAATTAAAGGTGTATCCAGACTCTCCATACACACAAAACCAAAGCAGAGTCTTCATGCATTTCTTAATGTGACCTAAGTGTTCAAATTTAAACTCACGATGGAGGTAAACCCATGCACTGTAGAAATAAATTAATTCATGTAAACAAGAAATGTCATGCAGCAACTCTTACAAATGATATAGCTAGAACTATTGAAGTATCCACTCCAGCTGTTATGCTCGGTCTTTCATTTACTAATGATATTAAAAAAAAAATTGTTCTCCTATATGATTCTCCTTCCTGTCTACTTCAAGTCATTTAGGGACTTAAAATATTTTAAGTGTCATGAACATAAAACACATCTCATATTAAAGTATACTTGAGTTTTACTTTAATGATTTTAATATTGATCCACTAAATGTTAAACCAGAGGAAATGTGTTATCTAATAAACATTGCTGATAAGAGTAAGGAGAAGTTGGACCCATGAATATATTTGATATCTGAGAAAAAATCTGATGAAGTATATTTTTTCCTTTTAGACACACAATGAGAATTAATAAACAGGAAACATGGAATACATTCAGAAAATGTCTCCTTTTATCCTATAAACATGTATACAGGTACTATTATTCAGTTAACATGCTACACAATCAACAACAGACAAAAAATGTTACAGTCTTCTTCAGACTGTCACTAAATATCTGTTATTGAAATGCATATAATTCAACAAAACAAACATTTCATAAGAAGTTAAACTCCCTGATATCCTCAGTTTCATGCCAAACAACAGAAACACCAACAACAGAGAATTAACAGAAAAAGCACAATACGACAGAATAAAACTCAAAAGCAACATTAAATTTAAACAGACACCTATGAACTCAAGTTGACTTTTTTTTGAAGACAGTGAAATGACATAGCAAGAAATTATAAAATTTCATGCAGAATATATCTAAAGTACAATGCACAAACAGTCATGGAGAAGAAAATAAAAAGACCAGATGGAATTGCTTAAGATACACAGTCATCTTGACATAAAGACTTTGCTTAACCCAAGTCTCATTGACTAATAGTACCATTCATTTCTCTTTCAGGATGTCATTCATTTTTGTTTTGAAAGGAACATGGATAAAATTCTAGATAAATTAGGACCCAGAAAAAAAATTGTGGTAGAAAAAGGGTCAAAATTTTCTTTCCCATGTTTAAATAATGAATTATTTTTGCTTTGGATATTTGATGAAATGTGTGATCTTATTAAAGCAAGATGATGTTGATTCTTTCTGAATACCTTGTTTCCATCAGGGTTGTGGATAACAGTAGTTTGGGGCTCCTGAGTGAGAACAAAATAGAGAAAGAAACAGTTCGCATTGGTAAGTACATTCTTACTAGTGTGAGGACAGAGCAGAGTGAGCCAGCTGACACAACTAACTAGTGACAAGAGCTTAAGCAATGTTAACTACTGTCAGAGGTAGCAGTGACAAGATCACTGATGAAAGATCTCCCTGGTGAGCCCATGAGATAGGATATCTCAGTACCCAGCAGCAGCATGCAAAAGACCTTATTCACCATCAGTAAACAGACAAGGCTTTGAAGTCTGGAGACCTAAAGAGGCACTCACTGTTTCACAAAGTCCTATACCAGATAGAGCTTTCCTTTCTTCTTGAGTGAGTAGCCTGTTAATGTTTGTCCTATAAAAAACTGACCAAGGACACTAGAGATTAGAACTCTTTAAAATAATCTTGAATTCTTTGTGAGGATTTTTTTCCAGATGTATTGCCTTAAGAATTGATTATGGTGTCATCACTATAGTTAATAGTGTATAGTTAATACACAGATAAATACTCTTGGAAAATCGAGAACATTGTCCCATGCTTAAGAAAAGGTTATCCTAAGGAGTGTATTCGAAAGTCCACATGAAACTCTGCGGAATATTTAAAAGGTTCATTTAAAGGATTCTAGAACTAATCCCATAATCACTATAATTTGAGACATATTGCTGTTAAATGCCATGTGAGTCCATACCTAAATGAAATTTCAGCTTTATAAACTACATTTACAGATTTGCTTGTGAAGTCATGCTTTTCCAAGAAGAGAACATTTTTCCTTTCTGCTTTCTACCAGAGACTTGAAGAAATATTCCCAAGTGGAAAATAACAGTCAAATGACTGAAGTTGACAAAGATTCAGTGTCCATATATCATTGGCATGCTTGGCACTTTCATTGCATGATGTGGTAACTGAGAGTTACTGCAGCCCATTGAGAGTTTTCTCCTACTCTGAGAGCTCTCTGTCCTCTAGACCCTCCTCTTTACCACCTTTGTGCTGCAACACGTAAAGAACGTATTTACTGCTTCCCTTCTTCCTTTCTCTGGCCAGAGGGGTGATCCACAGAGCTTTTTAACTCATAGATAACCTGCTACCTTGATGTGTCCTTTTCCTTTAAATGTTTTCAAATTGACCCTTCTGGTTAACCCAAGTGAAGTAATCCCTTAGTATGTTTTATTCATTTAAGATAATACTATAGAGGACAGTCAAAAATCAGAACTATTTCAGAAAACCCTAAATCAAAATATGGAATAATTTGAGCAAAATATTATGGAACTCAGAGTACTGAAGGGCAGCATTCAAATCTTGACTTTTATGTAACACTGCCTCAAAGTATTAAAATGATTTAGTTGTAAACAGTGTGAATGTGATTAAAATGGACAAAACCGCTTTCTCCCTGACAATTCAAAGTCCTATGCTACACATTTCATTCTTTGGATTAAAGTGAAACAGTGATAATTTAAAATACAATAAACAAAAAGCTTCAAACTGCCCAATGCCTCTTTATCTCAGAAAGTGAGGTCTTACAAAGCCCTGCTGTGTTTTAATGAGAGGGAAACGGTAGCTCTGAATAAGGTCTACATTTACTGTTGTCTAGCAATAATCCCCTTAGCTCTCCTTGATGTCAATATTTGCGTCATGAAAGGAGGAAACCATTGTTTGCATAATCTAGAGCTATCATCAGAAGAAGAGCTAAGAGCAACCAAAGCGCATTCTACTGTATTTCTAAGGCAGCATGCAACAATTTCAACTACAGAGATCACAGCTATCAGAATAATGTTCAACAAATGAAATGAGATCATCTCATGTTAGAAACACACTGCTTGGCAACTACCTTAACAAAAAGAAAAAAAAAAGTGAAATGAAAGTTTTTTGTATCTTCGAAAGCAAAACAAAACCCAACAAAATGTTTATATACGTATATATATACATATATATATGTATCTATATAGTGAAAGCAAATGAGAGAAACAACAAAAAACAGTAAAGAACTCAAGAAGGGTTACAAAGAGTCCAGGTATACCAGCGCCGGGGTAGGAATATTTTCTTTGGGGCTGGTTACCACGTTGGCTTTGTTGTTTATCTGTAGGTATGCAGAAAATAGAAACAGAGACGCCTTAAACCCCTTGGTAGCCAATGTCTCTATATGCAGCATGTCTATATGGAGATATAGACATGAAAATAAAGAGCCACTGAAGATGAACATGAAAGACACAGTGATGCTTGATGGGAATGATAATCAATTCCAGTCTCTGATGGTCACACACAGGCTAGGACCGCATCTGTGATGGTGGAATGTAAAACAGACTTGGCTGCTTTGGCTGTGCCACCTTAGCCAACAAAGAACTGCTTCAGTGGAGCTCAAATCAAGTTCCAGAGTATGAAATAAATATAAACATTTTCATACTCTTCAGGTTGGATTCTGTTTCCCAGCTTCCAATTGTTCACTGTTATGAATACATTCCTTTTTTTTTTTTTTTTCATTTTTTTTTCCCATTTTATTCTTGTTCCTGAAGTCACACATAGACTGTCTCTCTCTGGGAAGCCATCGTCACTTTGCTTCATAGGTATTCAATTAAAAACTTAGATCTCTGATGAAATGCTGGCTTTGTAATGTAATTTTTTAAATAATAAGTCTGGGCTTCCTTTAAAAAACACATCTTCCATTATAAATGACCAAACTGAACTCTTTACTATATTGAACGTAAAAAAAATTATTTTTCACAATTGTGTGAGAGGGAAACACCATGTCTTCCATCACAGTGTTACCGCTGTTGAAGCTTATATCTGGTAAGATCATTCCCTTCCTTTAACATAGTTGGGTTGACCTTAAAGAAAGACCATATCACAATGGAAGCCACACTGTGAAAGTAACTCAGAGAGTCAATAAGTATTACAATGGGTCCACAGAGAAAACTCTTTGTAGACAAGTGGCAACTGGAAATTACAATTGAGCTTGGGTGCTAAAGAACAAAACTAAAAAGTAATAACATTCATTTAAACTCATGCATGGTAACTTACATTATGGCTACCAAAGAGAAATATAAACTAACATTCATTCTCTTATACTCCATTATCTATGTATTTTTTTTTTTACATATTATTATCTAAAGGAACACATCCCATAATTTTAGTATAAATGTTCTTAAGGGCCTCAAAGAGAAAATCATACTGCATGAAAGAAATGAATACCAAATAAGTTCATAAGCAATTACACCCAGTTAATTGTTTGGACTTTCTGGAAGTTTTTTTTTCCTTTGTATTTTATACCTGTATATCATACTGATACCAGCACTGAGAAGAAGATAGAAGGTTAAAGAAATTAATTTAGGTATGTAATATTCTGTTTTTCTATTCATTCACGTTTGTGTGATTATTTAGTATCAGTATTATTCAAATAAGATACAACACTGTGCTCTGTGGCATGCAGGAAAAAAGAAAAAATTTTGTGCCCTTTACTGAAAAACTCTTTAAAGGTTAAATCATCAATCTCTATCTTGCAGATAGTCTAAAATTTTTGTTTAAATAAAAGCTCACAGAATTTAACATCAAATTTTTGCAACAGCCAGAAAGAGATAAGAAATAATGCAATTAAAGAAGGATCAAAAATTAGTATTTATATTAGTATGAAATACATGATAAAAGAGGAGGTATGCACGCACAAATCACTTCCTGTCAGGAAAAGTGTGCGGCAAAACACAGCTGACTTCTTATCAAATGAGCTGAGGCACTTACAATTGAAGTATCATATATATTTAATATGCTACATTCAGTCTGTATCAGTGGATGCAAAAATATAAGAGGAATATATTGATATACTTTTATTTCTATTTTGAAGTAAGAGACTTAATTGTTTTCTAGAATGGTTGTGAAGAACTGATTTCTTTCGGTGAAAATGTCACACATGCACACCTATGCACACATACTTCTCTGCACAAATGTGCACACACACACAACACATGCCCGCCACACATAGGTACACAGCATACACACACCATCATGTCTTCCAACTGAAGGCCATTCTGCCTAGATGAGCCGTCCTTTATTATCAGGCACGGCAAACATCAGTTAAATGAATATGAGCCTCAACCACCACTTTTAGTGGTGTTTAAATATGCAGTTACAAACTTTTTTAGTTAATGTAAAGAAAAGCTAAGTGGTCTTTTGTTACTATGGGAAGTCTTTTGAAGGTATTTGTAATAGTAATTAGTTGAAAAATAATAGGAGAATTTCTAAGTAAAAGGTTAGGAGGACTTCCTTTTTATTAAAGAGTCAAATATTAAGTATTAGTTAAACTATAAGGTGTCTTTTGAACATACCAGAACTTTGGCACTTTTGTTTATGAAATGTAGTTATTTTATGCTATGGAAACTATCTTTCTTTAACAAAACTGAATCAAACCAGATATTTAAATGATTCACCAAATTATTTTATGAGGCATGGGTAAAATATTCCTATTTTTCAGGTATTATGTTTATTCAGTCCTGAGGCTAATAAATGTTTCCTCTATAGGTGCTTAACGAGGATGGGTCCATTGTAAGCTCATTTTCACACTATTTATAAACTCCATGTAGATGTATTATGGTGTATCTGTATTAGGTTATCTGAGCTAAAAACAACTCCTATTTTAGTAATCATGATCATTGCTTAAAAATAATCCTATAATGTTTCTTTGCTTATCATTAAACAGACCATTATGTCATGTTCTCTTCAGTTTCAAGAGAAACCTGGACTCTGGTCTTACAAAAGATCCTTCGATGGCATATAAATAAAGGTATGAACTTTTCATATATTTAAAAAATTCAACTTCAAAGGTAAACAGTATGATGTGTATGTGGGTACTGTGTTTTGATAGTTACTTGACACTGACCTGTAATGGTCCTACACTTTCTCTATTTATACTAACTTAGGTAAATAAGAGTGTTTTTATTCCTTCCTAAGTGTGAATTGGCACAGGAGGAGAAATCTGGCAGATAGAGATCCTCACCATCATCTGAACACTCGAACTGGACTTCCTTTTCTGAATTGACCAGTCAAAGAGAAAGGGAAAGAAAAAAATATGACCGGTTGAATTTTTAAAGTGTCAAAGCATGGAGCACAGAATAAATTTCTCTTTAAGGAGGAACTATAAGCTGTCTAGGAGAAAAAAAAAGTTCTGGAAACATTTCTTTCTATATAAGGATGGTAGTGAAAATAAGTATCTCAATAGGAACTGTGAGCTCTGCATCTCTGAAAGGTACAGAAAAACATAGAACATTTGGAAAATTTTAAGTATCACATTTCCACCAATATAACATTGGAAAAAAGGGCAATATCAACTGTCACTACTGAAATTTAAACTGAATAAACTAAGCAAAAGGAAGAGAAAATTACAGATTGAGGAAAGCAATTGATAAAAGGCATATGCCATCATAATGGGAAACACAAGTGCATGGTCACCATAGCTCTGGAAATCCCCAAATCACACATAGACAGGAGATGAAGAAATGATTGTGCATGAGCATAAGAAGTGACAAATGATTTTCTATGTTATATTTTCAAAATGAACTGACCACCTGACTTTGGGTCAAGTTCAAATGCTAGAATATTAACTAATTCCCAAGAATGTTGAAGTGTTCATGAAGAATGTATGCATCTGCCCTTGGAAGAGAAAGAAAATGATTAAAGAAATAAAATATTTAGGTAATACTCTGGAAAGATAACAAACATAATACAAATATAAGGTTACATTCAATCAAAGGCAAATTCCCACAAAGCAAAATAGAATCAATAGAAAATACGTTGTATTACTTTGTTTAGAAATCCAAGAAACTAAAAATATCCTTTTGTTATCTTTCTGGAAAATATTTCTATACGTTTTTAGAATATTCACCTTGAGTATATGTCTCAATACCCTATTATAGAAGCATAGGAAAAATTAAGACCTTTATAAGAACTGCCCAAGCAGAGATATTTAATCATTTGACATTCTATTTCCCAGACCCTATGACTTGATTTTTTTTTTTCAGTCTATACATTTCAGCAGGCCTCCAGAATACAGCATAACTAGGGGCACCTGGGTGGTTCAGTCAGTTAAGTGTCTGACTTGGGCTCAGGTCATGATCTCACCCTTTGTGAGTTTGAGCCCTGCCTGGGGCTCTGTGGTGACAGCTCAGAGCCTGGAGCCTATTTCAGATTCTGTGTCTCCCTCTCTCTCTGCCCATCCCCCACTCGTGCTCTGTCTCTGTCTCTCAAAAAATAAAAATAAATAAATAAATAAATAAATAATTTAAAAATTAATAAAAAAAAGATATAGCATAATGAGTCAGAAAAACATTTGGTTTTCATTGATTTTTCAGGTAACTGTGATAGTTTGGGACTGCAGTAAAGCACAGAGTATTTAGACATTCAGTTTCTACAACAACTCCATAAAAAAGTATTGTCAGATTATTTAATATTTAATAAAATAGAAAGAATACACCTTTTCTTGGCATAAATATTAGTCATCTTTATGTATGAAATTATTTTATACTTCAACCTGCATCTTTTACAGAAACTATAAAAAATACAAGCTGTGAAAACTTAAAAAATTTATTTAACGTTTAAAAATTATCCAGCATCTGAAAGTCAGAACTGATTTTGGGAGTGCTTGTTTAACTTACCTTTACTCCATCTGGTTTCTTCAACAAACTCTTGGCTGCTGCAAAATGAGAGTAAAATCATTTCAGCGAGTTATCCATTGAAACCCATGCCAGGTAACAAATCCGGTTACTGTTTCTCTCTATCACCTTTACTGAGTTATGGCCAACATATGCCAAATTATCAAGATCACACTGATGAGCGCGAGCTTACAGGACACTGAAATACAGTATCACTTTTCTTGGTTTTGCCACATCAAATTTAGAACTAATTCTTATTTAGTTCATTGCATATAATTGAACACCGTGTCAGTTATGTTATTATTGGACTTTATGTCACTGTTGGTTGCGAAAAGGATACTGGAACTTTAACTGGACTATGCTTTTGTAATCCAGAAAGTTGATTTCAGTCTTCAGACATCAGCTTACAGACTGTATTACATGTTCATCCACACTACAAGTATGGTGACCATCTCAGTTCTGCCACTTAAGCCCCTCTTCCTAAAGGTTTGAAAATTTGCTCCGGTGAAATAACATCCTTTTTAAAATATACATGTATTTGAAGTCAGAACTTCCATTTTTACAAAAAAAAATATTAATAACAATTTAAAATGAAGTGGTATATTATTGACCTAGAGCAAAATTTTTAAATTTTAGCATATGACCTTTAAAAAAGGCATTATGTACTCTTTTATACTTCAAAATCAGAATAGAAAGCTTTGATAAACAAAAGCCTTTTACTTCAAAAAATTAAAAATCAGAAAATCTGAGGTGAGATATAAAACAAAACAAAATCTTCAACTAAATCAGAGAACTCCTGAAGCATATAGTCTCAGATAAAACTTCATCTTCCCGGAGGGGAGCTTTTAGCATTTCTCCTGTTACTGAACTTCTTGAGTATATTAGAAGATGAAGTCATCCCTTAAAAAAATATACTTAGGAATGGGTATATTCATACACAGTGAGCAGATTATATAATTGTCAATGACAAGTAGTACACCAAGTGTAGAACATTTATGATGATGCAGAACAAGGTACATACTTGTGTTTCCATTTAATGTTAATTGCGTGTATATTTGTATGTATATATGTGTGTGTGCGTGTGTGTGTGTATATATATATGTAGTTATTTAAGTATATCAGAATAGACTTTGACATCTGAAATGGAAAAACCTAGCTATAATAAAACTGCATGAACATGTAATTTCCTGACATCCACTTGACTTGGGATATTATTTTGATATCACTTTGGTATAATTTTAAATTTGTTTAAGATAGAAAACTGTTAATTTTATTTAGTCTTTAGCAACAAAGCTATTAATTTATTATTAATTGAGATTGTAAGAATTGTTGCCTTAGCTGTAGTACTATTTGCCTGGAGTTAAAAAGCAATATTAAGTAAATCCTGTGGCAGTTAATAGGTTAGAAAGCAAACTCAGAATAGTTGAAATTGCAATAGCAAGCAAAGAGAAGACAATGATTCAGGGTAAGCAGGGATTTGGCCTGAAAGATGCAGAAATGTCCCTTTTGGTTACTATTCACCTTACCTCACAAGAAATACATTCCACATAAAGGGAGAAAAGAAAAAAATAAAAACAACTTTATAACCATATACTTATGGACAAATTACTTTAAAGAGCATGTTTGCTAATGAAACAGAATGAATAAAATATTCAAAACTAAAATGCAGTATATCAAGTACAAGATGTAACTGGATCCATTGTTATTCAGTTGGTTTTGAAGTGATGGATAAAAAAAAGGTTGCCTTTCATGCTGAGACATCAGAAACAATATAAAATTCACATATTAGTCATGAGTTTTTAGTTTACACAATGATGAAAAGGAAAATGTGATGTAAACAAAAAGCGTCTATACATGACTGTATACATTTAAAAAGGCCCAATTTACGGCTAACAGTGTATTTAAGACTTTAACAAAATACACAATCTTAATACTGGACACTTTTTTCAAGTTAATTTGCCTTTAACAATATATATTAATAATCCTACCTCTTAGTGATTCACTAGTGTTTGGGCCACAGTGAAATATTTATTTGAATATAGTATACATTAGTTAATATTTAATGAGATGATACTGAACTCACCCATATAAATGTCAACTATGTTTATCAACTGTTCATAAAACAAGTAACTTGACAAAGGCAGTGACAAGGTTTTATCACACCAAACTGGACAAAATACATGCATTTGACTAACATAGTCCCTCAATCTGTAGCATTACTCATTGTATTCTTATCATTGGTGTTGTTTAATAGGTCAATGGAAGCCTTTGGAAAGCCTCCTATGGTTTCATATAATACATAACTAAATATAATGGGGGACAAAGGTGACCATTTAATATAGTTGTAAACTAACTAGAAATTGGTTGAGAAGGTTGTAGAACCCTTGATAATGGTATGGATCATCACCTGATAGCACTGTAATTCCCAGGAGTTAAGTATGTCCTGGGATAAATAATGGAAGAATAGCTAGATCATTTGATGACACATATCACCCTTATGTAAACAGTAAACAAAGCGAAGTGGTGGTATTTTTGGCATAATTGGTTGATAATCCTTCTAAGTCTCAACAGCCACTTTAACAATGTAACTTTCTTGCACTTCAGTTCCTCTCCATACGTAAGACTGATTAAAATTTACCAAAATTTGCTTTTTGGAAACCTGGTCCTTTGAGATAATCTACTGAATAAGGAGGTTCCAAGATTCAAATACTTTCTGGACATAATATATACTTTATGTCCATTTTAGAGAGTCACCCCTATAACAAAGAAATGGCTTAGCTTCTTTCAGCCAGCCCATTATTTCAAAAAAAAATTTATCATGGAATCATTTTGAGGAACATTTATTATCCTATATTACTGTAAGGTAGGGTTCTCTGTAAATTCTGGAGTTTAGATACCTTTGAAATATGCAACCATTCTTACAGTGTGCCAAGATACAACTGTACTTTGGAAAGAACTTGGGACTAAAAGAACTGGGTTCCTCAACAATGCTCTTCTGTTAAGAATCTCACTTATTGGGATTTCCTATGAGAATGAGACAAACACAAAAACCGTATTTATAGTTAGCAGTTGATGAAATATCAAAGAACTAATTCTAAGTTTGAAATACTGAGCTTCAAGAGGAGGAAGTACATATTTCGACAACTTGTGTGCACCCCAGTACAGATGGCAGATGGGTTTTGAGTCCTGCATAGCACTGACCAGGGGCTGCTTGAGTGCTCTTGTGAAGGGCGTACTCATGTGCCTAATGTCTCTGTGGAGACAGCACCCAGGCAGATTCCTGATGATAGACACTCTGTAGAAGGAATCCATGCCACATATTTGTTATCCCTGAACAACAGTGTTTTTATAATTACTAAGTTTTTCTTCAATTCCAAAATGACTACTGAAGAGGAGAGCAGTGGATAAGGAGAATTCTTAACACGTGTACCTGAAAAATTCCTCGTAGCCAGCATAGTTGTCAAGATGGCGCCCTATCAGAAAAATAAGAATTCGAAATTAATGTTGCCTCTGCAAATCTTGAACCTAACAAGCAGTCTTTGATAACAAATCTTCTCCTAATGTTACTTTTAGTTAGGGGATTTTTATCTGTTTTTGTTTTTTGGTTTCCTGAGAGCAGCAGGCCTATGTCTCACATTCAGCTGGGGCCACCCTCAGGTGTGTGGCCAGGTTCCAATTATCAAACTGCACAGTTGCTTTCCTCTGAAGGGAAGAACCACAGCACACACTGCCACAGAGATCCCAGCTCTTCATTGCAGGTTTCATTCCAGCATCTATTACATTTTCTCAAGACCCAGAAGAGGAGGAATAAGAGTTCTGAGGTCCGCACATTCAAAAGCCTTTGCTGTAAGTTATTTTCTTCACAATTTCATTTCTCACTCTGCTAAGTCCACCTCCTCACACAAATGTATAATTCCTTACCTTTAGTTTTCTTCTAGCATTAAATTTCTTCAGGCAGTCTACCGTCTCCTGTCTGTGCATCATGGAAGCAACAGTAGAACGTTGCTGGAAGAGGAAGAAAAGAAACTTAACTTAGGGTAATTAAATCATACTAAGCATTATAGCATTCTCAACTTCATCCAATCTGCATTAATGGTGCCTAAACCCTTACAATGAACTTGTGAGTATTCACTTGCAAAAGTTCCCTCCTAATGGATGATTAGCTTTGCCAAAACTATTTATGACTAAGATGCAACATTTATCTATAGAAAGCATAGATATGAATATCAATAATTCCTGCAATTACCTTTATTTCAATGTCTTTAATTATATTTCTATCGGACTGCCTTTCATTTACTCAGTACCATACTTACTGCCCTAACATTTGACAACCTTAGAAATGTAGTGGAATCTCTACATCCCCTCCAAATTTCACAGTTTTTCTTAGCACATTTGAAGTATAATCTGTCTACTATGGCCATTCTTTCTTGCTAGTTTAACTTAACTACAAGCTTCCAAATCTTGATGTTGTTGTTGTTGTTGTTGCTATTGTTGCTGTTTTTCCTAAAGCTGCCTAATGGTAAATAATTGAACTTTGTCTAATCTCTACTGGAATATAGTTAATTTTGGTGTCATTTTCTTATCCTCTGTTCATGAGTATTATCAATAACTGGTAGGAGAAATACTTATTCCTTTTGTTACTGTAGGCAATATTTATCGATCTATGTAAATCAGATTTTGTTACCAAAACAGCATTTATTACCATTATAAATTTATTTTATTAAATAACTCGAGTCAAAAATTCATTCATTTTTAGTTTCATCTTTTTCTATAAAAATTATTTTAAATCCATGAAAAAAATTTTAAAGAATGATTCATTTTTAATCTTAGTTCCTAAGGTCTTTGGAGAATTGTCACTTACACAGATCCATGGGTGTTTCAGTGCCTCTGAGGCTGTGATACGCTTGGCAGGATTGATAGTAAGCATTTTATTGATTAGGTCTTTGGCTTCAGGAGTCACTGTGTCCCACTCTGGTGATGGAAACTTCAAAAATACAAATTTATAAATAGTTTCAAAAATAGATACATTCAATTAAACAGGGAAGAGCCAAATAAACTAATCATTTCTTTAAGTAGTGGGTTTCTTCAAAAAACTTACTCTTTGTATAAGTTAAATTGTATCTACATGTAGATAAATCTATATAAATGTGTATATATATCCCCTTATGAATATATTTACATATATAAAAGATAAGTAGCTAATAAGTGATAAGTATATACACTAAACTGCATATTATACCTAGTAAATGTATTTTAATGTTTCAAAAAATAAATTTAAAGATCTTCTAGTCCTTTCAAAGGATCTTTATTTTGGTTTGAAAATAAGATTTTACACAGTCTTTCTCATAATTATTTGTAAACATCAATAAAGCTGGCAGGTTGTCAAATGTGTTGATGTCATCATGCTATTACACCAAGATTCAAAATGAAGTATTATAAGAAAAAATGAGGTATTACATACTTTCACACCTCATGATCAGTAAGAGTAGAAATAATAAAAGAGCTTCCGTTGCTGGTGCCAAAACTGACCTACTAATTGTGGCTATTTGGAATATAGTAGTGAGAAGAAATCTAAGACTACAAGTGCCTCAGCAGGATTTCATTTTAGCACTTCAGAAAGGTTAATCTACTTAATGACAAATTTCATCAAAGTTCTTAAAAGTAACCAACATTCAAAACTTCTATGAGTAATCCATTTGTGTATTAATAACTATATAATAGCTATCCTAAGTGTATTTAAATTTTTTGTTGATAATTACGTAGCCTCATTTTCACATTATTTATTAGTAGAGATACTATTGTTCATAGGTTAAGAAAAATTTACATCAGTTTCTAAACAACAGACAGAATATCAGGTTCTTATTCCACTTCACGGATTTTTATAGACAATCTTGGAACAAAAGTCACTGTCACTATGTCATGGACTTTAGTTCACTTTTAGTAGTTGTAAGATGGGTACTTTGTGAACCATTGGTAAAATGAAATATGAAAAAAATGATACTGACTCTTTAATACTTGAAATGTTACCAGTTTAACAACTGTCATTTTAATTCCATAAGTTATTTTGGGCAGCTATGAAAACTTGCCAATGAAGAGATATTCAAGCTGTTCCTCCTTGAGGTACAGATATTCTGATAGCAAATTAGGAGCTGGTTCAGCCTGAATAAAGGTGGACCTTTATCTCATTTTTAAAAAAGTTTCCACAAAGTCATTCCTCCATAGTCATTAAGCAGTGCATCTGCAGAACTATGTCTTGCCAGGGGGGTGCCTAGTTGTAGTCTGCAAAGATGATGAATGTGCTAGCTGTGGCCATGTAAATCTTAATTTGGCCCAAATATTAGTCTGACTAGATAGAATGGGATGCTTCAAAATTAAAAGAATATGCATTTTAAATTCTTGCTATACCCACATCCATCTATATAGAACATTTTAACAGAAAGGTGCTGCTGAATTCATGAGACCTGATTTAATATAACAGAGATTTTTTATTTTATCTTCTCTCACTTCCACACTGAGCTTTTAACTTCTGCACAGAAGACGGACCCAAAATTTCCTACGACTTAGTTGCTCCACTTAATAATATATCAAAAGCATCTCTAAACCTTGAACTCTAATTTCCAGAGGGATGTGTGAGAAGCTACCAAAGGTGGTAGTAAATCATATTTATACACATATTTGTCAAAGGAGAGAAAATTATTATCAGTGAACACAAAGTTAAGCCATAAAGAGAAAATAGATAAGGCTTTACTTTTGAGATTTAGAACCTAATTCATACTCACTACTTTCAAATATTCTAATTATAAATGAAATATGTTGGAACTGTGATTTTCAAGTATATTAAATTGTGAAACACATTCTTCAAATGAAAGTTTCCACAGAAGCCCATGAGGTAAATAAGACTAAAAAAATCAAGCTGACACATGGAATGATGTTCTATTTGATACATAGATCACTGCAAAATATTGTTGATACATGATTTAAAATTATGTGATAAACATTTGGGAATATAATTCAACTAAACAAGCACTAATCATTTCTAAAGCAAAAATCTTTTAATTTTTATATGTTTTAAAATGTACTAAGATCCAAAAATTTTGAGAAGCGAAGTCCTTCCTTAGAGACTTCCAACTATTTTCCTTTCAATCTTAGGAGATAGTGAACTAAAAGGAAATACAAACTAAACACATACGCTGCTTTTCTTACACTTTATCTCCCTCTCCCTAGGATTGAGAAAAATAATTAGAGAAATTGTTGAAAATTATACTTTAAAGTGTAATGAAAAAATTTTGTTCTTGGTTAATAAACAAAAAAAAATGCTCATCTACACTATATGAACATTTATTACATACATCATAAGCTCCAGCCTTGATCTGCTGATAGAGTCTGTGTTGGTCTTCATCCCAGAAGGGTGGATATCCCACCAGAAGGATATAGAGAATGACACCTAGACAGAATGAGCATATTAACATTATGTTAAGTCATTCAGGCAACAATAAATTAAATGTGGCAGATCCACATGATACTTAAGCCACATCCATTCAAAGAGAGGAAATTGGGTACTTGGAAAGCTTCAGAAAGACATGCTCTGATCTACTCTGAAACATTCTGTGGAGGGCGAATGCTCCTCTTCTTATGCTCATGAACTCTGATAGTATATGGCAGTCCAAAAATTTCTCTGTGCACTTTAAAAGAATGTGTATTCTGTTGTTTTTAGATGGGATGTTACATCTGTATCTGTTATGCGCAACTGGTCTAATGGGTCATTCAAAGACACTGTTTCCTTATTAACTTTAGAACCAAAGAATTCTAAAGAGGCACAACAGATCAATACCTAAAGATGAAACTTACCTGTCATCGGGGTGATATATTGATATCCGTGATGAAGACTTGTTTTGTGGCCTAACATATGATCTTTCCTAGAAAAGGTTCCATGTCAAGAAGAATGTGTATTCTCTTGCCTTTGGGTGGAATATTCTGTACACATCTGTCAAGTCCAGGTAGTCTAACATGTGGTTTATGGCCAATATTTCTTTATTGATTTTCTGTCTGGATGATCTATCCATTGACGTAAGTGGGGTATCAAAATCCCCTACTATTACTGTATTGCTGTCTATTTCTCCCTTTAGGTCTGTTGATATTTGTTTTATATATTTAGGGGCTCCTATACTTATGTAATGTTGGGTGTATAAATATTTACAAATGTTATATCCTCTTGTTGGATTGACCCCTTCATCACTATGTAATGCTCATCTTTGTCTCATTACAGCCTTCATTTTAAAGCCTACTTTGTCTGATATAAGTATAGTTACTCTAGCTTTCTTTTGGTTTCCATTTGCATGAAATAGTTTTTCCATCCCTTCACTTTCAGACTGTATGTCATTACATCTGAAGGGTAGGCAGTATAAATTTGTTTTTGTTTTTTTAATGCATTCAGCCACTCTATGTATTTTGATTGGAGAATTTAGTCCATTTACATTTAAGGTAACTATTGATAGGTACGTACTTTTGGCATTTTGTTCATTGTTTTCTGGCTGTTTTTGTAGTTCTTCTGTGCTCCTTTTTTCTTCTCTGCTCTCTTCTTTTGTGGTTTAATGACCTTCTTTAGAGCTATGTTATATTTATTTCTCTTTTTCTCTTTTGTATTTACTACAGGTTTTTGCTTTGTGGTTATCATGAGGCTTAACAAGTTCTAATTGTGACAGTGTACTTTAACTTAGTAACTTAAGTTTGATCTTATTCTAAGGCTTATAGTTTTACTCTGCCCCATCCTACATTTTGTTTTTGATGTCATAGTTTACTTGTGTATCCCTTCACTAATTATTATAATCATTGTTTTTTACTACTTTTGTCTTTTAACCTGTATACCAGCTTTATATGTGATTAATCTACTATCTTTATTATGTATTTACCTTTCCAATGAGACTTATTCTTTTATGTTTTCTTGTTACCAATAAGCAACCTTTCTTTTCAGCTTTTAAAGATTCCTTTTAACATTTCTTGCAAGCTGGTTTAGTTTGATGAACTCCTTTAGTTTTTGTCCAGAAAACTCATTATCTCTCCTTCAATTTTGAATAACTTTGCTGGGTGGAACATTCTTGATTCAAAGTTTTTGTTGTTGCTGTTGTTGCTGTTGTTGTTGTTGTTTCTTTTGGCAGCTTAAATATATCATGCAGCTTTCTCTGGCCTGCAAAGTTTCTGCTGAAAAACATACTGATAGGCTTATGAAGCTTCCCTAGTACACAACTAGTTGTTTTTCTCTTACTGCTTTTAATATTCTCTCATCTTTAACTTTTGACATCTTAATTATAATGTGTCTTGGTGTGAGTTTCTTTGGTTTCATCTTATTTGGAAATCTGAGCTTTCTGGAACTGGATGTCTGTTTCCTACCCCACGTTAAGGAAGTTTTCAGCCATTATTTCTTCAAACACGTTTCTGCCTCTTTCCTCCTTATAGAACCTCTGTAATGTGAATGTTGGTCTGCCTGATGTTGTCTCATAAGCACCTTAAGTTATCTTCACTTTTGCCTTTTTTTTCCTCTGTTGTGACTGGGTGAGTTCCACCAGCTTGGTTTCATGATAACTCATCCTTTCTACTACTTCATGTAATCTATTGTTAGTCACATTCTTTGTGACTTCTATTTAGTACTTTCTTTTATTTTTCATCTCTTTGTTGAAGTTCTCATTGTGCTTATCCATTTTTTTCCCAAGTTCAATGAGCATCTTTATGAGCATTACTTTAAGCTCTTTATCAGGTAAATTACTTATTTTATTAAGATTTCTTCTAAAGTTTTATCTTATTCTTCCATTTGGAACATATTCCTCTGTTTTTTCATTTTATTTGACTCTGTATTGGTCTACAGAGTGGATAAAAAAACCACTTTTCCCAATCTTTTTTTTAAATTATTTTTTTAACGTTTATTCAGTTTTGAGAGAAAGAGAGAAGGCATGAGCAAGGGAGGGGCAAAGAAAGACGGAAACACAGAATCTGAAGCAGGCTCCAGGCTCTGAGCTGTCAGCACAGAGCCTGATGCGGGGCTTGAACTCTTGAAGCATGAGATCATGACCTGAGCCAAAGTCGGCCATTTAACCGACTGAGCTACCCAGGTGCCCCCCACCTTTCCCAACATTTAAGTAGTGGTTTTGTGTAGAAGATGAAACTTGTCTTTCAACTCTACCCCAACTCTTTGTCATCTCTCAAACCTTTGCTCTTCTCCAAAAAGCCTACTATATTTTTATTAGCTCTTAGTAGGTGAGGATGTGCCAAGACCCACTAGTAACTGAAAGGGAAAGATCTCAGCACCTAGGTTCAGACTGTTTGGAATTCGGACCTTCAGATAGCAGGTTTTCAAAAATTATGCAAATATATACAGTCCTGTGGGACTACAAGCATAAGCCCTACTGACCAAGCAATTTGATGTGGTCCCATGGGTGACAGTCACAAAAATCAGAGCTTCAGATGAATGCATAATATCTTTCCTGGGAGATACTAGCAAGCTGAAACAAGGCAAAGGGAGAGTGCCAGGATGGTATCCACAACCTACATTCCTTGAGAGCAACTCTGTAGTCCACTAGATGTATATCAATTCTGAAACTTACTCCTCAGGCCAAAGTTCCAGGAAAAGCCAAGATGTCTTCTTCACAGAAAGATTAGAAGGATGTGTGTCTAAATCTGCTGTTTGTGCAGTGCCCTGGTGTGGCATCTTGCCAATAACTTTCTCTACAATTTCCAACTGTGGGGCCTCAGAATGCAAGTCCCCATAACCAGCCAGGCAATCAAAGGGGCATGCCCTGGGAGGCAGCTGCAAAAAAACAGGGCAGTAAATGTAAAAACCAGGACACCAGCTGTATGCAAAACTTGCCTCCAGCAGACACTGGAGCTCTGGAGTGTGGCAGAGGGTGAGCATGAAGACAGTGGTACTCTCTGAGGTCTCTGAAAAGGATTATAGGCATTCCTTAGATGTGTGTTTAATTAGAAACCTGCTCCTCAGGCTGCAGCTATGATGGTTAGTTAATAGGTGCCCTTCACAGAAAGATGAATCTCCTAGGTCTATTACCTCTTGCTATGCTGTGTGGGTAGTGGCCATTTAAGAACTATCTCTCCATCGGTTACAGTCCTAGAGGACCCACAAGCATAAGCTCCACTGACTGACAGAGCCAGGCAATGTGGAGGTGTCACCTGACAGCAGTTGCAAAAATCAAGGTTCCAGACAGGGGTATGAGCTCCTCCCTGGGTGATGCTGATTATTACAGTCTCACAAGACAAGGAACACAAGGCCCCATGGCCTCCAGAGCCAGCCAGTCAGGAGGCATCCCCTGGGCAGCTGCCACAAGATCAGGGCATCAGACACATGAAAAAGCTTCTTTCCTGGTGCTCTGGAGCAGCAAAGGGAAAGCATGGCCAAAGGAGAGCATGGACACAGTACTGCCAGCCTCCACCCCAGAGAATACTCCAGCAGGCTCCTAGATATGTGTTTTTAATTAGATGCCTGCCCCACTGGCTGACATTTTAATAAAAGCAGGTCAACCTCCTTCACTTGATGTCTGGGTGCAATCAGGCTGCCTGTGAGCTGGGCCCTAGGGCAGGTATGTCCAAGCATCCAGGCCCCTTAAGAGCTGTCTTACAGATCATGATAGTGTTGTGCATCTGGTACATGAGTCCGCTTTCAAAATTAGACATTCTTGGTGCTCATCTCTCAGGTGCAGGTCCTTAAAGTTGAGGTCTTGGATATGGGGTTCGAACCATTTACTCCTCAAGGAGAAGCCCAGGTTTTGAGTTTTCTCTTCATTGTGGATCACCAAGCTATGGGCAGGGTTTACAGTGAGATTGTGTCCCAGTCTCTCCTACCCACTTCAGTGTGGTTTTCTACTCTTTTGCCAGTGTCTAGTCAACACTGACAGCCTTTGCCCTTTTTTTTTTTTTTTTTTTTTTTTTTTTTTTTTTTTTTTTTTTTTTTTTTAATTTTTTCATATGGAGCTGGAGAGTCTGTGTATCTATGGGAGGAGGTGAGTTCAGGATCTTCTAAACTTGCCATCTTGAACCAATCCCCTCCTACTTCGGAAAAGTTTATTGGCCTACCTAAAGTCTTTAGTTTCTGTCACTGCTCTGACCTCTATTGATTATTTTTCCCTTGCTGCTTTCCCTTAAAGCATGGAAACCAAGGAAAGAGGGTCAGACAGATAAAACTTTGCCTGGCATGGCCTAGGATTCCTTTTATCTCTTACCAGTGTTGGTCTCTTGGGTTTCTTTAACTTTCCTTGTTAGGAAAATATAGCCCTTATCCATCAGATTTGTCATCTTTATACAATAGACACTGTGGGAGCTAAAATGGCTTTTAAACAATAGTTTAATCACCCTAGACTGTCATAGCCTGCTTCTGGAAGTTCAAGTTCAAAAGCAGATTCTTAAATTCATGTGAATCACTACCAGAGTGGAACAATTTAAACA